TGATTAATGACAAATTTTTCATTTTGGGGTGGAGTATCCCTTTAATAGGCTTTTTTGACTTGGACTGTAACCACCTAGCAACGAACATCCAAGCAATAGCCTAGCTATTCCATATAGAGGTTTTCTAGAAAGTGTTACGAAATGTACTTTTTGGTTGGAATATCTAAAAGGTTTCAGTTTCCACCTAGAGAACTCTGAACTGTTTAAATAGGTTCTGGAGTGCTGGGAGCAAAAGATTACATCACAGCAACACGCTACCATGCACTTCACTCTAATTAGAGTGAGTTAATGAAGAACCAGATAGGGTAACAAGGACACACATTACCACACATGCATATGCGAGTACGCACACATCCATTGTCGACGTTTGCATGCAGCAAATGCAGGGAATAATACTAACAAGCCTTAATAGGGAACACAATATATGAAGCATACATGTTTGTGGTGTTCTGTATAGTCCGGTGAAGGCAGGTTTCATTTGTAAGGGTGTATCTGACCTGACAGACACGGAGAACTCTCCCGGTGTGCTCTCGCTCTCCCTAATGAGAAACGCTCCACAATCCAGCGGTCTCAGACGGTTTTCTGCTGCCTGCCTTGAAATTCCGCCCACAAACCACCTGCAAAGTACAAGCTCAGCTGTCAGTTCAACATCATATTGTATATTTATGGATTGAAAGGGGACTACTGGTACAGTACACTTTAAAAATGATTCTTTCATCAAGTAAATAATCTATCTAAATTTAACAATTTTCACTCAGAAATTGCTAGTAAAGCTAGTAACACATTGAATTAAATGTGAAATTCTGAAGTCTGAAATAGTATTTTCTCATCCAAAAAAATATGTACAATAATATTGTATGTGACTACTTTGAAAAAGAACTTTTTAAAGTGCATGATTGTAGTACAGCTTTCACGAGCAGCATCTTGATGCAGCATTTCTATGTTTTAAGTCAAACCAGCAAGTACAAAATCTTAACGCTTTGTTGTTGTTCGAATAGGCCTACACTGAAAAATTGATTTGTGGTTTAGTCCCAGTCTGTCTATTCCCAGCATGCACCAGGGCATGAATAATTAACATGGTTGCATTGTTTGACCATTTGCCAGTTATATTTACTTTGTTGTTGCTGATTTTGTTGTCACATTTATTATCTTGTGAAGTCAGGATACGTTTATTCCTCTGTTAAAAAGACTAGTTGGTTGTTTTTCGTGTCTGTTTCATGTGTTGAGGTTTACAATATGTGACTTTTTAAAGTATTTTGTGAGTGTTTTTTTTTTCCATGTACATTTAGAAAAAGCACATAATACTGAATAATTTAAAATCACATAAATAAAGGGAATAATCTGCTCTTGATTTGATCTAAAAAGGCCACTATTAAATATGAATGTATGCATGTGGGATTTAATCTTTTGCATTGCATTTAAGATGTATATTTTATCAGTTCATATATTCCCTGGGAACTGAATATGAGCCTGGTATTGCTTGTGCTATGATCTAATGTTTTAGCTACAGAAATGCCTAAATATTATTATAATAGCTGAAAATTCTGCAACTTTAATAAATATATATTTGATCAAAATTGCTTAAAAAAACGGTTTTAACCTTCTATTTAAATTCTAAAAATATCATTTAAAAAAATATATATTTTGGGGGGGGGTTATTGAGTTTAGATGGATTGATTCCCCTTAAATATTAAAAATTTGTTCACAAAATTCCCTGTAGAATTAAAAGATAAGTGTGTGCAGTATGTGCATTGTTTTTTTCTCCTTTTGTATCACTAGATATTTTCAGATTTTTAGAAATACAAGTGCCTGCATGATATAGAGTGAAATGGCATGTTTAATTCCGTGACAACATTCTGCCATCTTATACTTAATAAGTAGCTTCAACTGCATTTATCATAAGCCGTGATTGATCTCATTCAGTCCACTCTTTTTATCATGATAGTGATTTTTAACTGACTCATTCGTTTATTTCAGAATGACTGGTAGGTTCTCAGTCATAAACTGCTATGTTCAGGTCACGCTACAGCATGTTTGTTGGGGTTTGGTCTGGGCTTTGACTTTTACCTATCCTCAATGCCTCACAAGTTTCTCAATCTTTCATGTTATGGTAAAACTGCAAGGTAAGGAAGTCCTTACCTAGCACATGTCCTTCCCAAGCAGTTTCAGTCCTAGTCACACCATCGGGAAGTCCACACCCACAGCAATGGGTGTCGTGAAATGCTGGGAAATCCCTACATTTGTATTTCAGAAGAAGATTCTTCTTCAAAAATCTTTTTTTTTTTTTCTAGTCTGACACAGAATAATTCTTCAACACATTTAATTCTAAATCCAACCCTAAACTTGCTCCAGCTGAGCATCCAGCACCTTTCCAACTCGTGCAATTGCCATCTTTCCCCCAAAGCAATTAGAACCATGGAGAACGCAACACTTATCAAATACTTTGTAGGCCACTAGAGATATCAGCACTACAAATAAAGTAAAAGTGAAAGTATAACATGAATAGATTTTGGAAATGTCCTAGTTTCCAACTGAGTCAGTGTCTCTGCATAAAACATCACAATAACAGACTCTGAAAAAAAAATATGACTAGACTGTCTCCACTTAAAGTGTTTTATTATCATATGGCGAGAACAATACCATTTCCTTTTAAAGACTGTAACATTTTCCCAAAACATTGAGACGCCCCACGTGAATAATTTGCATACATTTCCAGAACAGAAGTCTAAACAATGGACAAAGCCATGTTCAAAAGTCTTGTTTAATTGTGTTGACATATTAAACTTAAAGGTTTTTTACAGAAGCATATATCTTGGATATCTCTTTTTATCACTCCATAAATACTGTAAACACAGCTAGAAAACATGTTTTTAGAAATAAAATGTTGTTATATATAAACACCATATAACCTCATTTTGAGAAAATGGCCTATAAAGATATGTACTGTAATAGATAAAGTGCAATAAAACTTAGAAGTGCATTTTGTATGTTTTCTTTCCACCAACAACACTAACTTGTCTGAAACAACACGTTATGAAAAGCCACAAAATTGACCAGTGCATTAAAAAGCAATGTTTTTGCCTGAAGTGTCTTGCCTTAACGAATTTTGCCTGGCCATTCACAGATAAAACCACATGCTACATTAGATTCATTTCTGTCATGTGATACTTACGTGTGAGGTCTTACATTGATATAGTTCTTCGGTACATAGCCCCGCCTACCAAACAGCTCAGCCATGTACCAGTTCGGATCATCATCCATGTTTGTCACCTAAAATAAACATAAGACCAGTATTCAGATGTCCACTATCAGCTTAGGTTAGGTATTTTTCCTCCGTATTTAAGAATAGACTAGGCCAGGGTTTCCAAAACGATGGTTCATGAATCACTGGGATTTTGTGAAATAAAGCAAATCTAAAAATGCAATCGTTAAAAAGTAAAATTAATTAATATTTTGACATTTATATATTTTTTAAATATTTATTTTGAAACTATTTTATTTTAAAATAGCTTGAAATCATTTACTTTTTAAGTAAAACACTTGTTCACTTTTCACTATTGAAATACCATAAAATACTTCAAGTATTTTACATCAAAGGAGTTCAGCTGACAAAAACAAAGTGCATATACCAAAGAAGGGTAATTGAGTTTTCTGCATATGCTTTTCAGAAATTGCTTTGAAAAAAAGATTTAAATTTCTAACTTTACCATTTGCTTAGGTAACGTACATTTAAAAGACTTTTCAAGTATCCATATACATATTATGTATTCAATTCCCCAGATAACATAATTTGGTAATCAAAACAAAAAAGCAGCTTGCAAACCAATGCAAAGTACACATAAACAAATAAAGGACTATGGTAGTGTGTTACTGCCTTCACTGTATATGTTTTTTGGAATACAGTTTTCCTAATAGATATGTAATTTATAAAGGAGCCTGTAAAGATATCTTCACACAAGAATTACCTTGTACCATACCATCCTACAAGCTGTCCAGCTACATATATCACTACCTATTCACACAGATATCCATTCTGAAATACAAGCTAAGACTGAGTGCACACACTTCCACCAAACTGACTCACTGATCTAGTATTTCCTGTAAACGTGCAGCAGACTAGCATCCATATAGATACATCCAAGTGTGCCACATATCCACAGTAAACTACTGCACACACACACACAAAAGACTCACCTTCAAGATGTCACCCTTCTGGAAACTGAGCTCATCACATTCAGTCGCTCTGAAACTGTAAAGTGCCTCAGCCTCCATTGAAGAAAGAACATAAAACAAAAGAACAGACAGGCAGTGAAGTGGAGATGAGACCGGGATGAAAACAACAAAGAGTTCAGAGAGAAAGGGATGGGAAAGGACAAGTGCAAATGGAAATAGATGAAATGGTAAAGAAGGTGATTAAAAAGGATGGAGTATGGAGATGTGTAATGGAGATGGTGAATGAGACGGATAATTTGTAGAAGAATGATGAGTAGCCTTCAGCGCAGAAAAACTGGAGCAACAAAAAGACTGAGTGGAAAACTGAGGAAGCACAATGATGACAGAGAATCTCAGAGAAAATGTGTGTCTGCCGTTGTACAGCTGTGCACGGTGGGAATGGAGGAGGATGGAAAGAGAGAAGAGAGAGAGAGAGAGAGAGAGAATTAAAGTGGGCAGGAAACTAATGACCAAATCAGAATATCACACGCTTTCCATTTAATTTCTCAAATATATAATGTAAACTATAAGAAAAAAAGTGACCACACTTTGTTTCTTGACGTGTTTCTTGTCTTCGCTTATGTTCCGATGCTTTTGATAATAGATTTGTAGACAGAGAGAAAATGTGTGTCTGCCGTTGTACAGCTGTGCACAGTGGGAATGGAGGAGGATGGAGAGAGAGAAGAGAGAGAGAGAGCGAGAGAGAGAGAATTAAAGTGGGCAGGAAACTAATGACCAAATCAGAATATCACACGCTTTCCATTTAATTTCTCAAATATATAATGTAAACTATAAGAAAAAAAGTGACCACACTTTGTTTCTTGACGTGTTTCTTGTCTTCGCTTATGTTCCGATGCTTTTGATAATAGATTTGTAGACAAACATGTATATACATTTGCATATATGTGACTCTTTATGAATACTGTGTATAAATTTATTTTAAAATATATACATGATATATAATAAATTATATATAAATAATATATACATTTTAGTGCTGTCAAACGATTAATCGCGATTAATCGCATCCAAAATAAAAGTTTTGTTTACATCATATATGTGTGTGTACTGTGTATATTTATTATATATTATAAATACATACACAAGCATATATATATTTGTCACGAATCCTGTCCATGGACTTCCGTTCAATCACCACCAGAGGTCACCCTTTCATTACATTGACTCTCGCACAACACAAACTGTTGCATGTCATCCCGGACTACATATCCCATCAGCCATTGCACTGATTGCACACAGCACTGATTGCACACAGC